AGATACACAAGAAGGAATCAAAAAGGTAAGACAAATTTTTAAAGTCCAGGCGGATTTTAAAATGAAAAAAGAACTTTAGATGTTAGACACAAAACCAGTCTTTGAAATAAAAATCTGAGCTGATGAAGCAAACCACATGTAGATGACTCAGAAGATGACAAGGCATTGACCTTTAGGAGAGATGGGCCGGTCTTCGTGGCCCCTCCTCCTGGCTTCCGGGCTTCTGATGACGTCAACCCCTTCCCTTCTTTCCTGGGTCTGGGGTGACAGCTGCTTCCTGTACTCACTGTGTGCCTTCAGCCCTCCGAGCCATCCCTGTGTGACCACCTGGGCTCGAGGCATCCGTGACCTGCGGGGGTCTCAGCAGTCACCATGCTGCCCCCTGCACTCGAATGGGGTGAAGGGCCAAGGACAGCAAGTGCCTGAGGAGCCAGAGCAGCTGCTACCCTGAACTGTCATGGAGGGAATGCCAGGGACTAAGGCTGGGCTGTGCAGTCACTGCAGTGTCCCTGGGAGGAAACTGACAAGGACACCTGCCTTACCTCTCAGCTCAAGTCACAGCATGACAGCCACAGCTCTTCCATGGCAGCCTGCAAATTCCCCTGTGCCTGTTGGGCTGACGGGACTGGAAATCAAACACAGCATTCCACCGTGTCAGTTGCAGAATCCCCAGGTCGCTTGAATTCCCAGCCTCTCTGCATTTCCTAGGTAAAAGGCAGGGCACTGCCTGGCCGAGTGGGGCCTTGAAACTGAGACTCGGGATATCTGGTTGCCCTCAGTGGAAGCTGACAATGGACAAGCCCCCAGTCCCCCAGAGCCTCCCTTGCGGACGGAAGTAGCTTGCCCAGCTGTGTCTGGAAGGCTGGTGTTCTGTCCTTTGAGGACTGTGTCATTACCTCACCTGGTGCTGATCCCTTGTAAGGGGACACAGACTGTCCTCCAGACCCTCTGCCACCACGGCCTGTTGCCACGAGACCCATAGTGAAGTGAGTGAAGTCAAAGTCGCTCAGTCGTGTCCGACTCTTTGCGACCCCATGGACTATACAGTCCATGGAATTCTCCAGGACAGAATATTGGAGTGGGTAGCCTTTCCCTTCTCCCCGGATCTTCCCAGCCCAGGGATGGAACCCAGGTCTCCCACCTTGCAGGTGGATTCTTTACCAGCTGAGCCACAAGGGAAGCCCTTTAGACCCCTAAGTGGGTCCAATTACTGCATGATCCAGAGCACAGGGATACAGTACAGGTGGGGATATCTCTCATCTCTGCCCCTCTCCCCTACACTCCTCCCTTCCTGCTTGAGTGGCCTGCAAGTTTTCTGTTTGTTCTTCTCAGTAAGCAGGGAACCCCGTAGGGACCATTTCAGGATTACTGAGTGTCAGGCACCCCGTTTCTCATCCTGTGCATGGTATTGCGCCACAGTAGGGGGATAGAATGTACCTGTCTTCCTCTCTGGTGGCTGGTAAAGCTGTCCCTGGGAGGCATATCTGTAGGTGGGCATGCTCCGACTGGAGGACTCCACTCCCAGACCCCAACTCTCCACGTGGCATCACTTTCTCTGTCCTTTTATGTCCCGGAAGGCTTGTGCTGCACACCGTTGCCACCAGCATTTCGTGCGCCTTCACGCATATCCGCCACCACGCCCCCGCCCCGTCCTTCCACCCCTACCTCAACCACCTCAGCTTTCTCTTCTCTCGGGCCATATTTCTTGCTCTCTGCTGGCCGTCAGCCCTAGGTTGGGAGCACTGCCCTTATTCGGCTTGTTTATGGGGACCCAGGCCGCCGCGGGCCTCTCTCTGCTTCGGGTGCTGAGGCTGCAGCCTCACACCGTCAGTCTCCTCTTTCAGGGCGGCCCCACCCCCTGGGGCGGTGCAGGTGACGCTGATTGGCTAAGGCTCAGTGAGTGACCGGACAAAACCCAATGACGTGGCCCGGGCCGTACGGATTGGCCAGCCCCGGGCAGGCGGGCGCAAGGTGTGTGGAGAGCCGGAGGGCGGGTGGGGTGCAGACCTTGCCAGGCAGTGGCCAAATGGTGGGTCGGAGGTGGGGGTTACGAGCTGCCAAGGCTGTAGAGGAGAGGGTTGGCCAGAGAGGGAGAAGGCGGGGCCCATTCCCTGCCGAGACCTGGGCGATCCCAGTGAGGCTGGAAAGTGGCTGTGGTGTGCGTGCGTGCGTACGGAGTGCGGAGGCCACTGCTGGGGAGTACGAATGCGCCACAAGCTAGGGTAGCCCTCAGTGGGGACATTTATATGGCATTTTTAAAATCCTGGCCACAGCCCTATGGGAGAAGCTGTCTCCATCCTCAGCACTGTCACCCCCTTTGACAAATGAAACAGGCCAAAATGGATGACAGTTCACCTTTACATACATGAATAGGCGACCTGCAGATTAGAATCATGCGGCAACCAGAGTCTGTGGCTCCAGAACAATCAAGGGACATTCAGACACTTAAGTGCCTAGACCAGTTGACAGCATACCTGTACCCTATCACCTCGGCTACTCTGCACCCTGGAGGTATAGCTGGGCCACTCTCATTCCTACATGATCATCTCTCCTCCCAGCCCCTATTCCTAAGATCAGCTCTTCTGTTCTCGCCCAACACCTGCGGGGGCCTGAAAGTCTTTTGGAATGGAGATTTTACCATGGATTGTATTTGGAACTCCATTTAGGCTTCAACAGTGCACTGCTGCACAGTATATGTTGTGGATATCCCCAAATCAGGCATTATACATCTAAATACAAGCTAGTGTGGTGCATGGTCACACATCCTGGCTTATCTGTGTTCACAATGGCTTTACCTTAGAGTGCTTTATAGATGTCATGGTACCATTATGGTCATTGTTTCATTCACCCCTCATCAATCTGCTTTAACCACACACACACACTCAAAAGAGTAAACAGAACTATCACATGACCTGGCAACTCCTAGCTTTATATACACCAATGTAAGTAAAACTGTAATCCACAAACTTGAAAATGAATGTTCGTAGCATTATCCACAGTAGACAAAAAAAGTCTATTTGCTTGTAAAAAATCCAGATTTCTACAAACTGATGGACAAAACAGTCTATACATAAGATGGACTATTATATGGCCATAAAAAAGAATGAAATTCTGTAACATGCTCTAATGTAGATGAACCTAGAATACATTATGCTAAGAAGATAGGAGACAAAAAGGTCACATACTGTATGATGCCCTTCATACAAAATGTCCAGAATATGTTAAATCCCTAGAAACAGGAAACACATGAGTGGTTACCAGGGGCTGGGACAGTGAATGGGGATGGACTACTCAGGGGTGCAGTTCTCTCTGGAGTGATACAAATGTCCTAAAGTGAAACACAGTGATGGTTACAGAACTCTCTGAGTATGCTAAGTACCACTAAATTGTATTCTTTCAATGGGTGAACTGCATGGAATGTGAGATGTCCAGTTAAGTGAGGTAAAATTTTGATTATTTGCATTTTATCAATTTTCTGTATGACCCTGTAATCAACTGTTATTTTTATAGAAAAATGTCAACTACTTACTATTTACTTAGCTGCACCAAGACTTACTTGCAGCATTGCAGCATGTGGGCTCTAGCTCCGCAACCAGGGATTTAACTGAGGCCCTCTGCATTGGGAGTGCAGTCTTAGCCACTGGACCATCAGGGAAGTCCCTGGTATTTTTAGTATTTTTGTATTTTGATAAATTTGATCTATTTTCTATCAATTATATCAACTATTTTTAAAATTTTTGAAGTCTTATGAAATAAACATACTAGTTATGCTAATTTTACAGGCCAGGGAACCAGTTTAGTGAATTAAAAAGCCAGGAACAGAAAGACTAAGCCCTGAAGACGACTCAGTGGCAGACTGGTTCTTCCATCTCTAGCACACATTCTAGAACAAAAACCCCTTGATGACCAGTTAGTGAGAATGATAGAAATAAGGACCACGACATACCAGATACATCCAGTCAACTTTAGTTTTGAAGCTCTGGTCTATCTCTCATTTCTCTGGCAGGTATTCTCTTGTATTCCAACCACATGGTTTAAATGCTCTGACCTAAAATAAGGAGTTGGCTCAGGGCTGGCTTTTCAGGCTGCATACTGTCCTCTAATGGTCGAACTCCTGCCCGCTACCCTTTCCAGGGCTTGATGGGGACATGGATCTCTATCCTGGTTTAAAGAACAGCTTCTTCCTTATTTAGGATCTTATCAAGGGGAAACCAAATCACACATATAAGGCACAAACAGAGCGAAACAGCTAGCCGATTCTTCATTGCTTTATTAACATCAACTTTAGTATCGTCAGTAGATGAGTACAATTGAGCTAACAGTTTGGTTTGGTCACTGGGTAAATAAGACACTCCCGAGATCTCACCAGAGAGCACAGTGTGGAGGTCAGACCTAGTCGTGTCCTCTCTTCACAGAACAGTCAATTCAAACAGCACAGGACATCCTAAGAACTTTCACTGCTGCTCCACAGCCTCTGCACAGGAGAGGAGGGATGAAGGCAAACACCAGAGGAAATTCCACACCAACTGCAGTCACACGGTACCTGGAAGGCTACAGGTAGGATAGTAGCACCTGACCTCATACACGGGCCATCAGTGGGCAGCATGGTGGTATAATGCTGCCCAACTTGGGTGACTGCAGTCTACAATTCAATTCACATTTTTTTTAAGTTATGAGGAAAATGCACACATTTAAGAAACTGTTACCTTATGTTGGTCTCTACCCCATTATCTCTAGTCTCATCAGAAAACTTGCTATTAGATGGTTATTTTGTTAGCTATTCTGTCACTTCAAACTTTCTCTTATAATCCACTTTAATGATTCAAAGGTAAGAGTTATACATGTATATGTAGTTATGGCTTAACAAGAAAGCAGTTAACTTGCATTGTTTTTAAAAAGAATAAAGCACAATAGCAGAGATTTAAGTGATCATTTGGCAACAAGCATAAACATAAGGTAAGGTAAACAGGCCAGTCTGTTGGTCAAAGCCAACAGCTAAGCTATTGCATTAAAATACGTTCCACAGCCAATATGATGTGTTTGGAACTGATTCCAAACATATCCAGCAGATCACTGGGCTTCCCGCTCCGAGGGACCCCTGACACTGCCAGCTGATGGACCACGATGTCAGGCTCCACGGAGACGGCTGCACAGACGGCCTCCCCGATGCCACCTGCAGAAGCAAGGGATATCAGGGTCTGTTCTGGAAGCAGCTCGTCAGCCTCAAAACCCCATCATGTAGAGACCTTTGAATGTGTGATTCCGTGGGAGAAATGTTTCTCACTAGGCACTGATTTATAAACAACCGTTCCCTAACTGGCCAGAAGAGTTCTCATTCAAAAGTACAAGTCTTCAAATTGCTCCCAGCCCTACTCATGGCTGGGGTTATCTCCACTGGGGCTCCATGGACGCAAGGATCTGTGGAGATAGAGTCTCAAACCTGTCAGGAGCCCAAGAATTGGCTGCTGACTTCGGAAAGGCTGGCGTGCAAGGCTGGCCCGGGGGTGGTGCCGGGGCAGTGGGGTGGTGCCGGGGCAGTAAGTTGGTGCGAGTCCTTGATATAAATGAGACACTTTTTCTACTGCTAAGAGTGGTCTCTGTGCCTCAGCTGTTGGCACCACAGGGTGGTTTATGGGGCGCACCTGCTTTCCTCTGGGAGTCGGGAAGTTTGGCACGTGAATGGCAGCCATCAGCCCTTAATAATGCTCGTGGCAGTGAGTCTCGAGTGGGTTCCCTAGGTCTCCAGGGGGGCATCTGTTGCCGCCAGATAAGGGAGCAAGCTGGGGGCCCCCCAAAGGAGGGAGTGAGGGAGAGAGAGAGAGAGGGAACCAAAGGCATGGGGTCTTCACCCCTGACCTGTGTCTTCTGCCCCCTGGGGGTCCCAGTGTGTGCCGTTTCCTTGGAGAGTGCTTCCCTGCAGACCACGGGCTTGCTCTGGAGCCCCTGACACATGAACACATGAAGCTCCCCACTCACTCCTTTGCTCTACCTGACCTTCCCTGGCCAAACACTGCCCAGCCCCTCTCCCTGGCCACACTTCCTCCATTTGCTGTGTTCTCTGCTTGCAAGGTACTGTCTTCAATTTTTGCAAGGGGCAAACTATGAATCAGTCAATACACAAGAGCAACTGTGAAGCTTCTTACGATCCCTCCTGCCACAATGCCAAGTTAGACATTCCTCTGTACTGCCACTGAGCCACCCAAGGACCAGGCAGGGCACACTGTGCTGAGTACACACACAAATGAGGATGGACATGAGACCTCCCTTAGCTACTGTAGATGTGCAAGAGACCCTACACCCACACCCTTGCAAAGAGCAAGTAATACAGGGTGAGTGGTTGGCTGCAGAGACTTGGACTGCCCATGGTCATGGCATACTTCTGGTCAAGGAAAACAAAACATGTTCCACCAAAGCAGACTATCAAAATGGTCTGCCCCCAAGGCTTGCACATACCTTCTGGGTAGTGATCCTCCACTGTGATAATCTGGCCACCTGTGGCTTTTGCATTGGAGATGATGGTGGCAGCATCCAGAGGTTTAATAGTAAACAGGTCAATGACACGGATAGAAATATCTGGAAAACAGCAATAACCAGCTTAGTGTATCAAGCAGGCTTAGACTAAAAAGATGCACTGGGGCAGACAGGCAGCCCAGCCTCCACATCTTCCAGCCCAAACTTCAGTATTCAGCAACCCCCAACTGACCTTGCTTGGAAAGATCATCAGCGGCAGCTAAGGCTTCGTGCAAAGTAATTCCAGCTCCGACAACTGTAATCTTGTCGTTCACACTTTGACGGATGACCTGGTGGTGTGCCCACAAAACAAAAGTGCTGCGCTTACTACACGGAATGAGTCTCCCAAGTGGAGGACAGGCTGCTCTCCAGAGCCTACCAATTTCAGTGCTTCACAGTTCAGCACACTGACCAATAAGGACTGCTCTCTTTAATAAGCCCCACTTCATGTTTATTTAACAAATTTGTCTACCTTTCCTCATGATTTACAATGCCAAATCACTAAATTCTTTTACAGTATGTATGCAAAATGACCCTTTACCAAAGCAGGTGGATTTCCAACTGGAATGTGAAAGGCAGAAGGCCAGAAGCAAATTGGACAGCCCATCTGCTCCAGTATGGACTCAGCCCCACCAAGGGGTCTGAAAAGGCACCACCTCTGGACTGCTCAGGCCTCTTTCTGGGGGCATCCATGCAGATTGGACTCTGATGATGAACATGCTAATGAAGGCTATTTGAGAGCACCTTGGGGTGCTCTGTTCCAAGCATCCTGCATGCCCAAGTGCCCTGTGATGCCCATGCATTAGTGGGCCCATTCTGTGACCGAGGAAAGCAAACCTAAGAACAGGAGGAACTCACCCAAGGCAGGGTTGAGACCAACAGCCAGACCCATATGAATTCAAAGCCCATGTTCCCAACCATCTGCTAGTCTATAAGCAGACAGGGTTCTCTGCTCTTTTTTCATTGGTTTGTTTCTTTCAAAGTCACCCAACCAAAGGCACCTGGAATTAGTCTGCATTGCATTCCTCTCTATAGGTTTCCCTGTAACATAAGCACCACTGCTGACTAGATATTTAGGGTTTCAAACCACTTGCCCCATCCTTTAAGAATGTCCTAGCCTTTGTATGTGCATGTATATAAATATATACACACACACCTATATGCCCCTTTGCAAACCCAGCCTATAATTATTCATGCCATGCATATTATCACACATAATTTAACTCACATCAGGAAATTTACTTCATTTTGTCAGGACAGGACAAACATCACAGGGAAAAAAAAGACGAGAGAGATGTGAAAACTCTGAAAACCACATGACTGTCACCGAGACACCCTCCCTGCCACCCCCAGAGGCAAAAAGATGGCCTTGAGTGGGAGTCCAGGGAACAACAACACCTGTAGTTTACACTGAAGAGTTCAGCTTTTCCATTCAGTGGAATGAAACTATGGGGGGGCTAGGAACTCTTCTGGATATACCTGCTCTCCTGTGGCACTAAAGCTATTCAGAGCTCATTTATTCATTCTGAGCACAACCACTGTGAATTCTGGAGCAGCCTAGCCCTTATCAATCAAGTTGGAAGTCACGTATTGCTCCTTTAAGAATGACTATCATTCTTTTAAACACTTAAGAAGGGTATTCTAAAAGGCTTATAAGATAAAAGGCAGGACATAAAACAGTCCTACGCAGCATGATCTCAGCTAAGATATACACCTAGAAAAAGTCAGGAAGAAAACATGCCCAAACGTCTGTAAGGCCTGCCTTCTAGGTGTTGGACAATCATGTATTTCCTCCACAGATGCTATTGGCTTTCTGCACACACAACTCTGAAAGGCAGGCCCACAGACAGCGGGTTGCTTACTGGGCTTGCTGCTTACCCTTCTTTGGCCCTCATCTTCAAAATATGGCTGCTAACTATCTGTGCTTCCAAGGCTTTCTCAAGAACATAGGATATAGGAAGCACCCAGCAGGCCTGAAGGTGTATCCACATCCCGCAAAACCAACCTCAGGGCCACACGATGGCCAGAGGCAAGATGGTTCATGTTTGTTATATTCCTGGCCTCCAATGGGCAAAACAAGAACCTAACAGATCTCAGATCTACTACTCATTTGAAATGGGTTCTATCATTTTCTTAGCTTGACGCTGTCTGTGGTAACGTACAGCCAAGCAACTCAAGAGTCTTCAAGTTATTTATCTTTAAGGGTTCAACAGAGACTCCTTTCGCAAAGGAGAAATGTTAAGTTCAGGCTGACATTGGCAGAATATTACTTTCTGAAGAAAAGCAGGCAAATATCATGAATTTTTAAAAAAACTAGAACAAAGGAAGAATGAAGCCTCAACTGTCGGGGCCCCTAGCTCTGGCTTTAAAGAACAGTGCTCCCAACACAAACTAATACTGGAAGATACAGGAGAACTTAAGGCCTTACCTTCACCTGTCCAGTCTCAAAGCTTTCTTGTGGGGTGTAAATAATTGCAGTTTCTGGCCGACTGGTTCGAATGTAGCACATCCCCTAGGGTGTAAATGAATACCAGAGCCACAGTTTAGAAAATAAAACTAAATTTCCAACTAATAAACCTTAAAAAGCAGCTGGGAAGGAATGAACAATTCTTAGTACGAAAAACAAAATGTACATTCTGGAGCGAGGGATAACCATCTCTAACCACTGGCAACAGGTCAGGTGTTACTGATCAGGAGGCAAAAGCCTGTGAGGGAAGCTGCTGGATGCCCAGTGACAAGCTCTCCATGCTATCATGCTCACCCCTTTGGGAAAGCTTCCTCAGATACACCCTGATCTGTTCTGTTTCGACAGAATGTAAACTCGGGGCACGAGCACTTACTTGCCTTGAATAGAAACCCTAAAACATAATGGTAAACAATTTTTGTCACAACAGCGTGTAATACTTCATTCTTAGAAATACCTTAGATACCAGAACATAAAATTACTCATCTTCCAATGAGAAGATGTCAATTTTTTTCATCATCATCACCTTGAACATATAAATAGAACTATAAATGAATACTCAAATATCTATAGAGTATTTGTTAATTTGTGTGCATGCATGCTAGGTCATGTTGAACTCTGCAACCCCATGGACTGTGTAGCCCGCCAGGCTCCTCTGTCTACAGGGCTTCCCAGGTGGCACTAGTGGTAAAGAACCTGCCTCCCAGTGCAGGAGACCTAAGAGACCCGGGTTCAATTCCGGGGTTGGGAAGATCCCCTGACAGGGGGAAATGGTGAATTCTCTGTGCCACCTGAGAACCCAATAGTTGATTTACATACATATTTAAATCATACATGATAAACTAATACATTAATTTAAAAACACTGCTTCCTTTTGTTCATTTACATGCTATGAACCAGTTCTGTTCAGTACATTCTTAGGAGGTAAAATTTACTTAAGTGGAGCACACCCTGAATTCTGACAAGTTATACACCATGTATCTGTCTGTCTCCTCAGACTGGAGAGCATCTGTACTTCCCCAGAAAGTTCCCACATGCCTCTCTCCCACCCAAGGAGCAACCTCTATTCTGATGTCTCTTTTGAACTTTCCACAGTAAGATACCACAGCACACATGAGCTTGTGCTGTATGTGCAGACATAAAATAATGTCCAGGATAATACACCAAGTAGAAAAGTACAGAACCATGTGTGAGCCCACTTATGTTAAAAAAAAAAGAAAAAAGAAAAAAAAGTCAAAGAAACTCATGTCTCCCACACGTTGGAAATGCCAGGAATGGAACTTGCATGTTGCATGACCCACCTCAACTGTGTGCAGGGCTGTGTGCAGGGCTGGGGGGTTGTGGTGGTGAGGTGAGTCTGGTGACTGCTAGCTGCAGAGTTTGGAAAGGTAAAGATTCTGTTCCCTCAACTTTCCTTCAGCTGCAGGGTTCTGTGTCTCCTGCACTGCAGGCAGATTCTTTACCCTCTGAGCCATCAGGGAAGCCCCTGCACCTGGGTTCTGGACAAGAGCCAGGTTGTGTCCAACTGATGCCCTGGGTGAGACTTCAGGAGGGGCAGGCAGGGCAGAAGTCAGACTCTTACCCTTCTAAGCAGTTTTTGAGGAGGGTGAGCCAGGGCTGGGGATTCTAGGGTTCATCTGCAGCTGCCGCTGACAACTCTCCAGCTTTCTGGCTATCATGAGGTGGCAGTCACACACGCTGAGTCTAACACCTGCACCTGGTGACTTGTCACTGGAGCCCACTTCAGTGGGCTTGGCTCTGCCAAGGACTCCCAGTCCCCAAGTCCCACAGTTTCCCCCTCTTCTTGACCTAGGTCCCACCCCATACAGGTCGCTGGGAGTTTGACCTTTTCTGCACTGTTTTTTTACAATGCAAATGTGTTCATGTTCTACATGCTTCTATTACCCTTTCTGCGGTAATGGTTCTATCTTTAAAGGGAATCCTACAGGACTTCCCTGGGGGTCCAGTGGTTAAGAACTCGCCTGCCAGTGCAGGGGACACAGGTTAGATCCCTGGACCAGGAGGATCCCACATGCCACAGAGAGACTAAGCCCATGCACCGCAACTACTGTAGCCCGTGTGCACCCTAGAGCCCATGTTCTGCAACGAGAAGCCATCAAAATGAAAAGCCTGCACACCACAACTAGAAATGAAGTCCCACTTCCTACAACTGGAGTAAGCCTGTGCAGCAACAAAGACCCAGTGCAGCCAAGAAAAGGCTGCAATCAAATTACCTGTGACAAATATCTATTACCTTTATGATGAGACAAGTAATATCAAACCATCAGTACCAAACTAGCAGCAGAGCCCAGACACATTGTTTGTCTGCACCAGCATTCTCTAAGAAATACCTTGGTATTGGCTGCCAGGAAAACAGCATGCTCTGTCGAGATGGCATCACTTGGATAGAAAATCTTGCAGTTCGGAATGGCTCGGAACATGGCTAGGTCCTCTAGGGCCATCTGGGAGGGGCCGTCTTCACCTGAGAAAGCAAAATCATAGCCCAACAAAGAAACCCCAGTAGGAGCCTGCCCTCCACTGGATGAGTGACTGTGCTGCCTGCCATGGGAGCCACCATCCCAACAGTCACCACAGACACTGCAAGCAACACAGCAGAAGCCACTTCTTGGCCTCGAGCCTCGCCAGCATCTGGCACTCAGTGTGACGGGTACTGCTGCCCTAGGTGACCCGCACTCTCTTCCAGGTACCAGGACTCTTCCCGTGTCCTCTTCTCCGAGGAGGGTCCCTCCAGACTCTGTTGTTTCTTCTCTGTGCTTTTACCTTTTCCATCAAGAGATGAAAGTTTTCAGACTCGAGTGGTCTCTCATTTCTCATGGCCTTCAAAGTAGCTGAGCATTACAGAACATACCTTCAGGGTGCCCTGGGGGTACTGTTGGAACTCATGGACTTCATTGAACCCAATGTACACCAGGGTGTCCAAGCTCTTCCAGCTAGGAAGGGGACTGCCATCATGGACACTGCCTGGCCTGGGACTGTTGTCTCTCCAAAGAACTTCAGTTCCTCTGGGTTGGACTTAGAACCACTTTTCTACTTGGCTGACTTGAAAACTAACTTTGCACCCAGCCCCAGGAGAGGCCCCTGTGCAGGCCCTCCTCTCTCCTCTTTTCCCTTGAATCTGGCCCACAGAGAGTCTCCTTTGCCACTCAAGCTCTCCCTGGAAGTCCCTGGGACAACACCCAGATGTGCAGTTCCAGCCCTCCCCTCCAGCCTTCTGGCAACAAGGGTCAGCTGTCAGTCACATCTACCTTGATGACCTGCCCTGCCACAGGCATGTCAGGTGCCCCATCTTTCTAGAGTCCCCACTGCTATCCTCCACAAACACAACTCCCAGATGTTTCCTAGGCAAGAAACTACTGGGCACTGGCGTTTTGCTTCTCATGCAGCTTGGGACTTCTCCTCCTGTCAGCAATGTTGACGTCTTTCCACAGGCTCTTGCAAGTTTGTTCCATTTTCTATCCAGTGCTAATGCACACCTCCATCCTCCTCCTGGCTCCCCCATTTCCCATCCACAGTTAATGCCCCGATGTTGGGCACCTCGAGGCTTCCCATTCTATCCAACCAGGCTGCTTATCCCAGCAGAGCCCTGGCAGGCTGTTTGTCCCAACTCAGACTAAGGTGACCAAACAGCAGGAAAGACTTCTGTGATGCCAGAGTGGCCTAATCACTACTAGTATGTGGCTTGACACAGAAGAGGCACTGAGGATAAGTATTTCTCAATGACTGAAACAATGGGCACTTTACAGTAATACCAGGAGATCAGCTAAAAAGTTACCCAGTTTCTGGAACTTCTAAAATGGCCTTTTTCAAAAAACTGGTTACAAATAATCAAACTAATATCATGGAACTCTATGTTGGGCAGTTCAACTGCTCACATGCTGATCTTTCTCTGTAAAGGAGGAGGGCAATTAAGATGATGGCATTGAGAACTCATACCTACGGACACCCCACAGTGGGACCCAATAAGATTGATGTTGGTTTGCGAGATGGCTCCCATCCGGATCTGATCAAATGCTCGGATCCAAAAGGCAGCGAAGGTGCAAGCAAAAGCCACGGTGCGACCACGGGTGACACATCCCAGTGCCACGCTCACCTGCATCACAGAGAAGCTGAATCAGAACACTCTTGGAGCCCACTTCCCCTCCTGTTTCCCAGTGTAGAGTGTATGCTTCTCAGGATCACCTATCCTTTGTGCCCCCTCACCTTGCCACACCCCTCCTCCAGCCACATGGGAAAACCCCAAACCTGGCAAATTCACTGTGTCCCCTGAACACTGCCAGAAATGAGAGGAACTGAAGTGCTGGACCCATTCCTTCATATCCAAGCTGGGGAACCTCGAGACACTCAAGGCCACCCTGCAGTCCTTGTGGCTCTCCTTCCCACTCTCCTCGTCCCCTGCCTCTGTCCCCTCTCCCCACCCTGCTGAAGCTCATCCTTCTCCTGCTTTCTCAAGGGCCTCTCTGACCATGCAGTTGTCCCCTCCCCTCCCATGTCACCTCAGTTTCTCCCTCACTTTCCCCTTGTGCTCCTGCTCCAGATCCTGCACTTCATCCATGTTCTCCTTCACAGGAAAACCTTGCATGCTCCCTCATCTCCCACTTTCTGCACATTCTCCATCATCTAGGCCGCCATCCCCATGAGGGACCTGGAACCTGCCAAATGCAAGAGGTCACCTGAGTTCCTCTGCATCGCATCTGACCTCTGAGGAGCATCTAGCACTAGGGAACGCCTGCCTCACTGGATGTTGCTGCTCCCTCCCTGACTGGATCTGCCAGGTGGTGCACCTGGACTAAGTCCTGGGGTTGAGTGCCACACTCCTCCTGATCTGCCCTCTTCACAGGGAACCAGCACGGGGTCCCATGGTGTCATTCTGATCTGCATGATGCTAAGGTCTCCTCTGTCCCTCTATTGCTCACCTCTCCTGCAAAGCCAGGCTCACACACCCTGGTGGCCTTCAAACTAGAAGATGAGTATCTCAGAGGTAAACAGAGACCTTCCAAAGGGCGCATGGCTGTGGCTGGCTGGTCTCAACATCAAGATCCTTGACTCCCACATCTGCCTGCTAGGGAAAGGGCCTAGGGTGTCCTTCCCACTGTCTCCCTGAGAATCGCCTCTCAGCAACTAACTGCCAAAAGGCATACTCTCGCCCACCTCAGGTTGTTCCTTCAGTGGGGCAACATCCTGGAATGTAAGAGCTCCAGAAACAGAAAGAATAATTTGAAATAATCACAGCAGCCTTGAGAAACTACAAAGCTCAAAAGACTGGATAACAAATCCTTCCGTAAGTCAGGTGTTTTCCAATTCTTTTAACAAAACTGAAAGTGAACCTAAGTGAAGTGTCAATCCTTTACAAGTAATTTTCCACAAACAACTGGACATGAAAGATCACTGTGATTTTCGGCTTATAGCTGGGACGAGATTCAAATGAACTGAATGACGCTGCTGCAACAAAATTCTCACTTCCCAGCACCATATCTTCTTGAATAAGGTTTTCTGGAACTTACATCATTTAAATAGAAATAGGTTTTGTTCTGAATCTTGTCTCATTCTAGCTCTAAGTGTACTTAACTACTGCTACACAAGCTAAAAATTATAGCCATAGCTCAATCCAGAAGAAAAAAATGGTAATGTTCAAAGGCCTGTGGATGTAGGAAACAAATTTTAAAAACCATCAATGTATATGCATAGTTTATTGAAGAATTATCAGTAAAAGGCTTCCATGAATAAGTAGTAGAATGGAAGTAAGAATTCAGGTGGAAAAACATTTAATTTCTGACAGAGAGAGCCTTTGTCTAACTGGATGATTTAAGTATTCGAGTGTCACAAATTATAATATACGGGAAATTACATCCTTGGCATCAGTTAAATCTAGATGCCAAGGATATATTTAGATGTGAACTTAAAAAATTCAATGAAAAATTTAGATGTTAACTTAAAGCTTAGATCTACTTAGAAAAAGACATTCAGCGGTTTGGAAAGCAAACATATTTGGAGATAAATGATCTATCCCTTCTGACCTACCTGGCATCCCTACCCCCAGTCTAAGAGGTAGTCTAACCCCGCAGGGCTCAGCGAGACCTCCTGTGTCCCCAAAACCCATTCCTGCCCCAGTCTTGTCTGTCTCCCAGGTGCTCTGGCCTATGCCCTAGTGCCAGCCTTGGTTCCACCTGGTCATCTACTCTGCATGAGTCTGCATCTCCCCAAACCCACAGCCACTGTCCTGATCCAAGCTGTCATCTCCTGCCACTCCCCTACTTCCCTCAGCAAGCTCTTCTCCACACCAGAGTCTTGGGCCCTTCCTTCTGCTCCCTGAACAGCTCCAATCTGGGCATGCAGCAGAGCTAGCTGGGCACTCTGCTGGGAATGCTGTCCCTGGATCTGCACGTGACGGACTCCCTGTCGCTGAAGTCTCAGTTTAAATGTCACCTCTTCTGAGAGCCTGCTCCTGATTGGCCCTAGTCATGCTCTCCCCGTAGCCACCAGTTTGATCTGGCAGCACAGAACACTACTCACTTGCTGGCTGCTTCTTTACTAGGTTTTTTTTTTTTTCAGTTGCTGGTTGAACGAATCAATGCATAGGGAAGCAAACTTTTGAGGCTCAATTCAGAAAAAATATGAGCTGTATTTTTTTCCATTCAAAATAGAAATAAGGAGACCCACTGAAAAATGCTCATATCCTTACAATTTCAATGACCTGGTTTACTGAACTGAGGGGCTTAGATTCCAACACTGACAGGGCCAGGGAAGCACCGTGAACAAAGGAGCAGGCCAGCCAGAGGCAGGGACATGGTGAGATGGCTGTGGATGCCCATCTAAACAGGGCCCCTGCTTGACTCCAGCCAACTGGTGGCAGGAAGGAGGGAATGTTGTTCCAGTGTTGCCAGATCTTCCCATTCTTTAAGAAAAATCCAGAAATCTGGATTCCATATAAAAATTTCCTGACTTTAAAAAGCTGGCAACTAATTTAAAATATTTGTAAATACTATTTGTTCCAAACAAAATATCTCTGGTCATGTGAGGCCTACTGGCCCACAGATTTCTGGCCGGTGCTGTTTCTGGCCTCTGTGATGTGAGGGTCAATAAATGTGTGCTGTCCTCTGCACGGGTGCAGAACTTGAGAAGTCAAGGCATTTACTTGCACGAACACTGAAATATCTAGGTTATATCAGGCCCCAGGGTGGAGAGACAAACCACAATCCCTTGAGGTTCTGCACCTACTGGCCACAGCCAGGCAATCCTACAACATCCCAGGGGCCACCTAGAGCTACTAGGGAGCTGGGCATTCTTCAGACCTGGAGCCCTGAGATCAGAGGGCTGCAGCCCGCAGACTTTCTGGAGAGTGTGTGGGGCCATCTAACCATGCCTGTCCCAGAAATCCTGGAAGCCAACCCTCACATTCTACCTGACTGCTCTCTACGTGTTTCCCTGAGACTTTTTCCCTCCACTTCCTTGGCTTTTATAAGTGGAAAGAAAAACCGTAAGGGGGGCAGGCCTCCTAGAGCGGGTAGCCATTTGTCAATGAGATGACTCAAAGTGATGTTCCTAGCACACGTACCATATTTTGCTCAGCAGTAAAACACTCGATGAAGCGCTCAGGGTGTTCTCTCTTGAATGTGTCAGAAAAGGTGGAGTTCTTGGTATCACCATCCAGCACAATAACTCTGTCATTTGCATGGCCCAGCTTGGCCAGAGCCAAACCACATGCTTTCTGAGTAGCTATCTGAAAATCAACAGGAGAGTTTCTTAGAATGCATTTAGAAGGCAGGTGAAATTTGGTAGAATTATGAATTGTCATCCTCCTTAATGAAGAAAGCAAATTTGTAATTCACCAATAATCTCCCTTGGGGTAATAAAAAAGGACTGCTGAGACTTCCCTGGCAGTCAAGTGGTTAAAACTCTGTGCTCCCAATGCAGGGGGCACAGGTTCAAGTCCTGATCAGGGAACTAAGATCCCACATGCCATACATGCGGCCAAAAGGGAAAAAACAAAAAACAAAACAAAAACAGGATTGCTAGCCAATCTTACATCCATACTTCTCTCACTTGAGTATCAATTTCCCAAAAATAAATCTGTTCTTGTCTCATTCTTATAGTTGATTAAAAACTTAAATTTCCCAACATGCAAATGCCTCTGTGACTTATTTTAATTATAAAGCTGGTAACAGGGGCTTCCCTGGTGGTCCAGTGGTTGAGAATCCACCCTGCAATGCAGGGGACACTGGCTCAATCCCTGCTCATGGGAGATCCCACAGCTGTGCAACAACCGAGCCCATGCACCACAACTACTGAAGCCCATGTGTCCAAAAGCCCATGCTCTGCAACTAGAGAAGTCACGGTGTGAGAAGTTGCACAACACAACTAGAGAGTAGTCCCTGCACTCCACAACCAGAGAAAGGCCATGTGTAACGAAGATACAGCACAGACAAAAATAAGTATTTTTTTTAAATGATAATACTCACTGTAAATATTAAAATGGAAAACTTTGGAATCATGATACAAATAAAAAATAATTCCATTAGCATACTGTTTGAGACTGGACTGAACCCATGGATTAATCTGGGGGAGAGCTGACACCTTTACTATATTTTTTCTATTAAAAAACCCCCAGATTTGGTATTCCCTCAAAGAGTTAAACACAGAATTACAATTATGACCCAGTAACTCTACTCCTAGGTAATTACCCAAGAGAAAAATACAAATACACAAAAAGCTGTACACTAATGTTCATTGCAGCATTATTCACAATAGCCAAAAGGTAGAAATAACCCAAATATGCAGCAACAGATGAATGGATAAATAGCAGCCTCAAAAAGTTTGCATATTAGATGATCTCATCTATATGAAATGTCTGGAACAGGCAAATCCACAGACACAGAAAGTTAATTAGCAGTTACTAGGGGCTGGGTGGGAATGGAGAGTAATGTTTGTGAATATAGTGTTTCTCTATGGGAAGACTGAAATGCTGTAAGATTCAGCATGGTAACAGTTGCACAACTCTGTCGTATGCTAAAAACCATTGGATTGTACACTTCAAATGGGTATATTGTAGAGAAAATTCTACCTCAATAAAGCTGTTATTAACAAAAATAAGGTTTGTCTCTTCATTTATCTATCTTTGTTCATTCATTTAAATAGTCTTAAAAATATTTTTTAAAACAGGCAATTCACAGAGATGAGTACAAAAGTCAAGTTATGAAAGGATATTGAATGAAGAGGCCATTTTCCTTCTGCTCTCCCAGTTCCTCTCCCCAGAGGTAAGGGAAAGGATAGGGTTGTGAAGTATTCTTCTGACAGCATGTGAGCTTTTAAAGCTATAGTTTCATAAGTACCTTAATATAGACCATATGCATTTATTTTTAGCTATTTTTTATTGCTATTGTAAAAAGGAATAATCTCTCAATTTTATTAATATGAGAAAACAATCAATCCTTATATATTAGTTTTGCTACAAGCTCTCTTTCTAGACTCTTATTTCTAACATATTTTCTTATTTCTTTTCTTACTCATTCTGATTTCGATTCTCTTTTGAGTTTTCCAGACATACAACTCTACCACCTGCAAGTAGGCTTGCCTTCTCATTGTCAGGAGGGAGTCTTATTTTGAACGACCACAATTTCTCCTCTCTTAATGCTGGTGAATGATTTGCATTACTAATTTGAATTTCACTGATTCCAATACTTCTTTTAAGGCACTAAAGAAGTTGAGACTGGTGAATGTCTTATTTCAGTTCCATTAGTTCAGTTCAGTCACTCAGTCGTGTCCAACTCTTTGCAAATGTCTTATTTAGAATTTTTAAATCAATATTCCTAAGTGAGGCTGGCCTGTAGTTTCTTCCTTTGGACTAGCTTTATAACATTTTGGCTTCATAAATGACCTTCTCCATATTCAATAAGATTTGAAATAGCGGAGTAATTAATCTACCCCTTGAGGGTTAAAAGTAAGTCACTCTTGTAACTAACTGAGCCTGGCACTTTGGAGGTGTAACTCCTAGGCGGTTTTCTCAAATTTTCCTAATGGCTGTTATCTCCTTAAGTGTTTTTAAGAATTTTTATTTTTGGCCACACTGTGCAGCATGCAGCATCTTAGTTCCCTGACTAGGAATCAAATCCACGCTCCCTGCATTGGGAGCGTGGTCTTAACCACTGGATCACCAGGGAAGTCCCTGACCTACTTAGGCATTTTGTGTATTTTTACTTAACTTTGGTATTTTATGTATTCCTTAAGACGGCCCATTTTTTACATAGGTTTTCATACCAATTAGCATAGTTTTCTCAAAATTCTCTGAATGTTCTCTCGATTTGTGGTAGTCTTCTCTAGTGACTAATTTTATTCATTTATAGTTTTCATCTATTTAAGTAGACTAGGTAACGGCTTGCCTACTGTTTAGTAATTCAGAGAGCCAACTCCTAGATTTGT